TTTTTATGGGGGTACCACTTCGACACCAAAGCAATGGCAACAAATCGTACATTTTAGCACTGGGGCACGAATGCAAGACCAAAGCAACGGCAAGAAATCGTACCTCTTAGGTCACCACTTCGAGACCTAAGCAACAGCGACAAATGGTACATTTTAGTATTGGGGCGCCACTTCGACACCAAAGCAACAAACCGCACATCTTGGCACCAGGGTACCACTTCGAGAACAAAGCAACGGAAACAACTCGTACATCTTATCATTGTGGCACCACTTCGACACCAACGCAACGGAAACAAATCGTACATCTTACTGGTCTCACTGTTGGTGCACCATTTCGATACAAAAGCAACGGCAACAAATCGCACATCTTAGCATTGGGCCGCCACTTCAAGACCAAAGCAACGGCAACAAATCGTGCATCTTAGCCCTCGGGCATCACTTCGAGATCAAAGCAACGGCTACAAATCCTACATCTTAGCACTGGGACACCACCTGGAGACCAAAGAAACGGCAACAAATCGTACATCTAAGGGAGCGTGCGGCTCTGCAAGGGAAGCCAAGAGCGCCGTTTCAGTCACAGATGCCGATTTGATGTTGTGAACCTGCACAGAATATCGTTCCTAGCTCAAACCCCAGGTCGACCCTTTCCAGGCACCCACGAAGGAGGTCTTGGCCAAAGCCGAGGAGGACTGGGTTTAGTCATAGGGGTTTCGGGGCTGAGCCGGAGAGAAGAAGACACCGTGCCAGCTCTCTTCGCCCCAGCTCACTCAGGACGTGAACCGCATCTATCGGCAGTTCTCCAGCTTCGTGAAAGGCAACCGCCCAAATCTCACGATTGAGGAGATCAAAGACGACATAGTTTCCAGAGTCATTTCGTGCCGGGGGCAGCGCGTCCTGTGATACGCTGCAGGAAGTTGCCACTGGCGAAGTGTGGTTTGGGGCCGATGCGCTGGAAAAGGGCTTGGTGGACGTCCCTTGGCGCGGTGGAGCACGAGCAAAAGAGCGGCAGTAGAGAGCGGAGCGGCGTAGCAGAGGGAGCTACTATAGAAAAGGCTATAGCTATAGGCCGAATTATATGTGGCAAGGACCTTTATGTATGATTTGACGGGTCTCTCTTTGTGTAGTGTATTCGCAATCGACAAATTATGCAGCTATGGCTCAGGGTTGAGGTGTCGCTATAGCTCCATAGAGCAGGGCGTGCACAGGGCGCCTATAGGGCTGCATTATACAGCGCACCCTCAGCAGGCCCTGGGGCCTGGCCCTGGGGCCTGGCCCTGGGGCCTGGCCCTGGTCCGGTCGCTCGGTCGCTTAAGCTTCCGAGGAGCTCCAGACCTCCTCGGAGTATTTGCTCTCGCTGATGACGCAGGGCCACGAGGTGCTGAGCTTGACTTACATGCAGAGTCGTTCCGGCCTTGGGAGTCTGGTGGGTGCGCTAGGCCCGGTAGGCTCAGAGTTGGCCAGCGCGTCAGAGTTGGCCCAAGTCTTGCGGCAATCGGCCGATCCGGGATCCCTCTCGGAGTCAGAGGCACTGCAGGCACTCAAGGTCGCGGGGGCGAAGCTCCTAAGTGACTCGACTCAGACTTGGCCGCCCTCTCTTCCAGAGCCACGTGTGCAAGCCCGGGGGCCCTTGGGATCTTTCGGAGACCGTGGTTTCTAAGCTTGCCTTCAAGCCCGACCTCTTCGCTTATGACGTCGAAGCATATGGAAATGTTCAGATATGTCAGATTATTAAATTAGGGATAAAATAGGAAATAGATACGAAATGGATACGATTCGAAATAGGAATAAAATACGAAACAAATAGGAAAAAATAGGATAGAAAATAGGTTCATCTGTGCCCAAATACTAGGAAATAGGTTGAAAATAGGAAAATATTAGGAACATATTAGGAAAATAGGAGAACATTAGGAAAATATTAGGAAAATAATAGGAAAATATTAGGAAAATAGGAGAAAAATAGGAAATTATTGGAAAAAAAAGAAAATATTAGGAAATTAGGAGAAAAATAGGAAAAATAAAAAAAAAATATAGGAAAATAATAGGAAAATAGGAAAATAATAGGAAAATAATAGAAAAATAAGAAAATATTCGGAAAATACTGGGAAGATAATAGGAAAATAAAAGGAAAATAATAGGAAAATAGGAAATTATTGGAAAAATAGGAGAAAAATAGGAAAATATTAGGAAATTAATAGAAAAATAAAGCTGTTTCCTAATTATTTCCTAATTTTTTCCTAATTTCTAATTACTTCCTAATTATTTCCTAATTATTTCCTAACTATTTCCTAATTATTTCCTAATTATTTCCTATGTCCTAATTTGGCCTTTGTTTTGGACCTAATTTCAATCCTAAATTTCCCCTATTTTTTTCCTATCTATTTGCTAGTTCCAATCCTATTTATTTCCTATTTATCCAGACAATCCTATTTTCAATCGTATTTGTTTCCTATTCAAAACCTACTATTTCCCTAATTTAATTAAATGGACATATCCCCTACATTTCCAATGGTCGAACGTCATAACTCTTCGCGGAGGATTCCGAAAGTTTCCTCCGCCCCCCGAAAGAGCTTTCCAAGAGGGAAAAAGGGTGAGGCCCAGTCCCAGGGACAGCTTAGGGAGTGCTTGCAGCATGCGCACAGCATTGCAGCTACGCCGCCTGCGCAGAGCCGCACACGGTGAGGCCCAGCATCGCCTTTTCCTCGAGGTTTCGCCGCTGACGGCAACTCTTTGGCACCACTCCGTCTCACGCTCTGCTGCTCTAAGCTCGGTGCTCCGAAAGGTTTGGAGCTGGGTCAAAAAGGTGGAGCAAAGACAAGGTCTTTGGTTTTTGGCGCCAAGAGTCTGAGTTATCTTCGCCCAGACCGCCTCTCTCGCGGCTCGAGCGAGCTCTCGGCTCCCCGCAGGGCCTTCCCGGCAGCTCCCCTTTCCCCTCCCCCCCTCCATGGGTGGCAAAGCGAAGCCGACGAAGCACACGGCCAAGGAGCTCGCTCAGAAGGACGCCGAGGGCGCCGTATGGGTCGCAGCCGCATCGCAACCGAATTCCGAAAGCCGAAAGCCGTTGAAAGGAGAAGGATGCCACCTGCAATCGCGGCGGTGGCTCTGCTGGGCTCAAGGACGCCTCGAAACACGGATCTCGGAACGAGCTGTAGAGGGATCTCTGCGCTCCTGTGCAGGATCGGCAAGGAGGGTCGGTAGGGCACTCGAAGTACAAGTGCAACATCTGCATGCAGTCTGCCCCAGACCCGTCCGCCACCCAGCAGGCCCCAGCACGCCCAGCTCTCTCCTTGTGGCCTTCTTGTGCGCTCCTTTCTCCTTCGCTGAGGAAGTCCATGCAGATGCACTTCGAGTCGAAGCATCCGAAGGAGGACTGTCTGCCACTCTGCCCTTCTTGCCCCCTTTGAAGCAGAAACTCTTCTGCAGCAGGAGTTCGCGCTGGACAAGTGCACAGACCTCCATTCAGGAACCGGTGGCACCACCCAGGGAGTTGCTGTGAGAGGCGGCATCAAAAAGCATCACAACTGAGTAGCACCTCTCAACACGGTATACTACAGGTTCTCATGCGTCAATGAATTATCTACTTCCCATCCTGGACGACCTTCGACCCGTTACACGTTTCACCCTCAAGAGGCAAGAGCTGCAGGCCTGGGGTCCTGCGGGCCTCGGTAAGTCCTGCCTCTGAGTGAGACAGGCACAGGGAAGGCAGTAGGAAGTAGGAAGGCCCATTTTCAAAGCAGTAGCTGCACGCAGCTGCACGCGTTCGGCAGTGAAAGCAAACATCTCGATCCCAGTCGCAAATGCAGCAATGCCTTGCTTTGCATCGATGCTGCGGCAGCTGTGGCTTTTAGCACTTCAGTGCAAGGGCCAAATGCGGCCTTTTCCTGACGGGGCAACCGAGGACCCGAGGACTGCGGAGGAAAACTCTTCGAGCTTTTAAAGCCGTGCGGTCGTATACAGCCACCCCGGGGAGCCGCCGGAGCCGATCAGGCTCGAGCCGTGGCAGCCGTGGGCCGTGGCGGTTTGGGAGTTTCAGCGGTTTGGGAGGCAGCCCGACTGCGGGACCGCGGCCCCAGTGCCCGCAGTCCGGCCCCCATGCCGCCATTGCCACGAATCGAAGGCGCCTTCAGTGGAATTGACCTGAACCATTTTGTGTGAGTTGTGGACTTGCTTGTATATATAGTTTGTGTATATGTGCCACTTGTGTGCAGCCGTGAATCGTGTCCGTGCTTCGATCAACCGAAGCACTTTGTATTGCACGTCTGTCGCCAAGTGGTGACAGCTCTCATGGTCTGTAGCAAAGCAGTATAATGACAGTCTGAAATTGATAGACTTGCAAGTGCTCTCAAGAGGCATGGCGGGCGAGGTCCTTGGGGACGGGGAGCTGGCCTGTTACGTCGTGGGCCGATGCTTTCAAGAGCGCCCTTTTGGCAACAGGCTGACTTCAACCCCGTACGCTGCCCGGCCTGCGACGCGTTGCTCAGCCCACGGCCCGCGACGGACAGAGCGCTCAATGTGAGGCGTCGCCGACCACGAAGACGCCGCTGTCCCGCATGGCACGGCTCTTCCGAAAGGCGCTTGAACGTACTGCCGTGCTGGCTCTTTCGGTCTCCGTCTCCAGGGCACTTCAGCCGTGGTCCAAGACGACGCACACTACCAGCGCTGCGAGGACCTGCAGAAGGAGGAGCCGTAGCGGCGGCAGACAGCGCAAGACAGGCAGAGAGGAACCCCCCAATTGCGGAAAGAATCAGAGTCTGGAGGAGAAGCACATCTTGAGACGATTCTGGATCCTGCTCTTCGTCACTGCAGCCGGGAGCTCAAGCATCTTTGAGAAAGGAAGATATCAATAGATAACACCTTCCGCTGCTGCGGGCAAGATCTGCTGAGATCCTCTCGAGCTCTTTGTCTTTCCTCATCGACCGCTTCACCTACGGCACGGGGCTCCTGCGCTCCACGCTCACCCTCGGTGCGCCGCGCGGGCCCCGAAGGGAGGAAGGGCCCTCCCCAGCCGGCTGGGCAGTCGTCCGGCAATTCGAAGTTCGAAGCGAGGGGGGTGGGCCAACGCTCTTGCAAGCTCAGGCTGAAGGCCTTGGGGTTCAACGTGGGCATGGCCTGCCTCGCGCGGCTCATCGTCCGACCGACGGCCCCCCGCGGTTTCCCGGGGCCGCGGCGCAACTAGCCAAACCTGGGCGCTTTTTGCTAGGTGGAGGCAGAGGGGAGCGGTTTCCCCGAGATGAAGGCAGTTTAGGGCGTGTTGGGCAGACCGCATATAAGTTCGGCGCGGTCTCACCGGCAAGGCCATGCTCTTCGGGAAGGTCCTTTTCAACTTCCTCACCTTTCGCGTGTCGCGTTCCTTTTGGCCGTCTCTGGGGCCCTCCGTGGGGCCATTTTGGCACTCCGTCCGAGGCTGGTGGCGAAGGCCTTGGCGCTCTCGCTTGGCGTGGGCGCCGGCCTCCCCCTCGGCAAGGCGCGACGCCGAGCGTGACGCAGCGCGCGCGTTGCAGCGCGTGAGCCGCTGCCTCGCGTCGGTTTTTTTATGCAGAGGAGGGCCCCAACGTGCACATGGCCGCCCGTCGCTCGGGGACACCGTGTCGCTGCACTGCTCCAGCCCGCCGGCGCCACAGCTACAGCTTACAGCTGCTGCTACGCGCAGAGGCGTGCATCGCTCGGGTGATCCACCCCTCCTTCTTCGAGATGCCCGGCAGCACTTTGAGATGTCTCTTGAAAAAAAGGATTGATTTATTCGAACGCAAGACTGAGAGTCGGTTTCCGGAAAGGAAGCGCGTGCAGAGCTCCCACGGTGCCCATGGGGCCGGGGGGAGCGGCGTGGGCTCCGCCGTGTCGAAGCTCCTCTTGGCCGCCTGTGCCGTTGGCGTTGGGGCCTCCTTCAGCGCGCCCATCGGCGGCGTGATCTTCTCCTTGGAGCTGATGCTGCCGCAGGCCCAGAGCCGAGAGTTTGAGAGCTTTGCTTCAGCTTTTTTGCTTTCGGTTGTTGTCTGTCTGTCTCTCTCCGTGCTCTCTCTCTCTCTCTCTCTCTCTCCCTCTCTCCGTGCGCAGACCTACGATGCCTTTGCTTACTGGGGCTGCTTTACGGCCGGCACTGGCCCTGGCGGAAAGCTTCTTTGTAAGCTCCTCACAGCGAAAGCCGCTATACTCGAACAGAAGCCGGTGCTACTGCGAGGCATCGTCGGCGCAATCACCTACGCTGTGGAGAGGACAGGGTTTCAGGGCAGAGGCGGAGAGAGGAAGAAGATGGAAGAAGACCATCACAAGGCTGCGACGCACAGAAGAAGAAGCCTGCTAGAGGACTTTGACGACCGGAAGCGCGAGCCTGCTGCCACTGATAAGTGCCCCTCCCAAGTGACTTTTTACTGGGCCCGAAAGCAAGGGCCCATGGTTTCTTGTGAGGTTCCAACGTGCTGCCCGGCGAGGGCTCCGACACCGACTTTCCGCTCCTGCGCCTCGCGGTGGACATTGTCCTAGGTGCGGCTCGCCGCGATCGCGAGTCTTTTGAGCAGCCCGGTGCGAGTCTGCGGGTGGCGGCGAGTGGCGATTTCTTTTTGTTTTTTGGAAGGCCTGCTGTGTGGCCTAGCTGGCGGCATCTGGGTCAGCCCAGCGTGGGTTGAATAGGCTTTTTTTGTAAAGCACGCGATGTGGCCCCAG